GAAAGGCGGGCCTTGAAGGCGGAGTCTGGAGGCGGAGTCACTGGAGAAAAGGAGGCGTCACTGAACCTATATTGCGCTATAGCGCCCCTCCCTTACAATTTTTTGCCGCGAAACCGGTACAAGGTTGTTCGTCGTGGACCACACTACCCTCCCACCCCACCTTTCAATATCAACTGCTGATCGCAGACAGCACCTTTCAGAACAGGTGAAACCGACTCGGTTTTCGCGCGAAGTTTCCAAGGACCTTCATAATTAGCATCACAATGTAGAAGTTGAGTGCGCTTTGCATAGAATCGGCTATTGGAGCGTACAAGTCATCCTACCTACCGTCTCACAGGTTTTTTTTTCTCGGCTTCCTACCTCTTTTTTGGATTCACCGGAAATTAATTTCCTTAAACTTCTGTTGGATGTAAAAAAAGGGGGGGGGGAGTCAGCTATAGAAAAAGTAGTTGTACTGGACCCTGGCACACTGTCAGAATATTTCAAGCTCTTTTTTACACTTCAACCAGCGTCCAAGCTTGGGTTCGTATTATGGAAAGGATGCGCCAGGTGTGAAAGGACCAGCGTGTTGCAGTGAATGAATAAGGGGTCATTAGAAGGCTCAACTCAGAGTTGTAGATAAGGGCAATTTGGAATCTACATGTGAGTATGGGCTGGGTGACTCTCGAGCGAAAAAAATAAAAAATTGAAAATAAAAACGAAATGATTCGGCAAGTATGCTCTAAATAAGACCCTCCTCCCGTATTATACGTCTTACCTGTTGATAGCTATAAATATAATGCCAATAGCTTGTGAATGACCGAGATAGTTGACGCCTGCTACTGGCACCATCGACCAGTTTTCTCCATAGAAACTCTCCGGAAAAACGCCAAATATGGGAAATTTGAAGAAGATTGTGGCGAATATGGACATCAAGATGTCCAAATTGCTGGCCGGAATTGCCATCAAGATTCGGTACCTGAAGAAGATGTATGCATAATCGGAAGAATGATGAGGCGAATGGAGTGTGTTGATGTCGACTGAAATAGGATAAAATTGTCTTCTGTGCAATGTTCTGCGTGACTCCGCCCATGCGATTAACGCGGTATGTGCAAGCGCATCTCGTTTAATCGCATGGCGGTCGCCTAGGATATTGCTTTGATCTACTGGTGCGCCATCTCCCTAATTGAAAGAAGAGAACTCCTGTAGGAAATGCGCACCAGTTTTCAGCACTAATGTTCATGTGTCCACCCGGAATGAGCCTGTAAGAAAGATGTTTGAGAACATGATTTCGACTTACTCGCCCTTTTTGCGTAATTTGAGCCTCATCTTCGTGAGCTTACCCACAATGAGCAGCCCCTAAGTCTGCGCTCACAGTTTGGGAAAAAAACCAGACAAATGCTTGTCTGGCATGCGACGACTGCGAATTTACTGAATTGAGGTAGTCTGCTGAATTCGGACTATTCCGTAGGAATGGGCGGAGCTAGCGCAAAGTGGGTGGAGTCAGTATATCAATCCTTCGAGCTAATATACGTGCGAACTCAGTGTTGCTAATGTATAGAAGTGAAGAACGCTTGACCGATGGTGCCGTGCGACTTGTGGCGGCAGTACATGGGGGGGGGCCAAAAAAAGTCATTTTGCCTCCATGACTTTCAAGGCGCTCTAAGTTACACTTTATTAAATTTTTATCGGACATTTTTACTACCGTATTAAAGACAAATAAGACTATAGCGATACATCCACACAGCTTCGGAGAAGCGACCATCGAGAGAGATTCGGGCCCGCAAAGTGTCGGTAACGGAGTGAGTCGAGATCGTTGATTTCCTCCGCCACTGTAGACCACCCTGTTGAGCCCCGCCCGAACCGAGTAATTGAGGGGTTTAGTTCAGGACCCCCGCTTGAACACTCCATCTTTTCCAGGTACTGAACGTTCTTCCATTCCAAGTAGGCGAAAGTTTTCCAACGCCCTTCGATTCCACGTGGTGGCACCCAATGCTGTAGCAGTACAAAGTTTCCAAGAAGGTACGGGCGACGACATGTGGGGAAGATATTCTTCTTGAGTTGGTCGATGTAGCCACCAGCGCACACCCTCAGTCTGTCACGAACGAAAATATCGTTCATCCATGGGTGAAGATTGAAGTCCTGGACCGTAAGCGACAGTTGCGAAGCTGCTCGATGTTGAGTCTTGCAAGAATTCAAGATACTGGTCTCCATGTAGCTATCCATGGGTGATTCCATTCAAGAAGTTCCGCAGCTGTTTGGAGGCCACGTGAATTCCAAAGGCGTTCTCCACTCAGGCCGCGACTGGAGATGACTTCATATTTTGGTGTACATGAAGGTGAATGGCGGCAGCCGGCTCCTGCTTATAGAGGAAGATCTTGGGTATCTTCCGCCCTGGTACTCATATCCACTTCCTCTGTCTGGGCTGCGAAAACTTCGCTCATATGTGACTCGGCCGGAATGACTTTTTTTGGCCCCCCCCCTGTATATCAAAGTCAGGCAGTAAGGGGTCGTGGGTCTTGAGAACCTTCGGCAGGTTTAATATGTGACCCGACACTGCAGCAACTAAGATTGACCTAACATCATGCAATGCGATGCGAGCTCGACCTTGTTATATACTACGCGATCAAGATCGCGCCGCAGGGAAGGTTCACGCCTGCAAGCGCCGCTGCCTTATTGGTGGTTCCGGCGTTTCTAAATCCGTGGTAATTCATCGACCCAAGTGATACCAACCCAGTCAGACGAGGTGGTATCAAAATGCATGGCTCAAGCCCCCTCACGGCGCGTAAATCGCTAGAGTCGCCCTGCACTGGTTCGGAAAATGCGACAGAACGGGGGCTTCACTAGCGACAACTTCAGCCCACGTGTTCATTGTCTTCATCCACAAGCAAACAGTTGTTGTATCGATTCATTTGCTAAGCGCAAATTATTGAAGCGAAGGTTGGTATGAAGGGCAGCCGTGATGCTGCATGATATATATGCATACACATGTCAGCGTACTCGGTAGCGGTGAGTTGGCAAAAATGCGCTAAGGGAACACTCTCCAATAATGATTTCTAACACAGTTGAGAACAGAGCTCTTTCTTCACAGGGGAGTTTGACGCGTTTCAGCTCCGGTTCTTATTCGCCCTCTTCCGTCACTATATAGCGTCCTACTAGCATTTTAAGCTTAGTAGGAAACCATCATGCCAACTGCCTTTAAATCCCTGCAAGTTTCTGTGTTTCTGTGCGCTCTCACGTCTGCTTGACATTCCATGATCACTGAGACCATACGCATTCCAAATTTCCACGCATATCGAGTGGCTCATCCGCTCCGGAGTCTCCTCTCACTGGAGAAGCTCGCGACCCTTGCACCTTTCAATGCTTTGGCAGCCGCTGTCTTCTGTTTCTCTGCGCTCTATCCTTCCGCGCTAGGACCGCCTTCAAAAGTTCGAGTTATCTTTACTATTCTGCTTTACTATTTCGTATGGAATACAGTACTCACCTCTCTTTTGAGATAACGTAGACGAACATGATGTTGATTGGTAGACATAACAATGAGAGTACGGTAGAAATTAGTTCTACCACTAATGCTATAGTCATCATGTCAGCTAATTTTCTGAAAATGATGTTGTAAAGACAATAGTTCTGTGATTCTGAGGTGCCTGATTTTGTAATTACTCACTGAGGTCATTTCTTATTCTGTTTTCTTTGAACCAAACCTATTTACACTTAGAATAACCGTATGGGCGGAGACAACTAAGGTTTGTGGTATTGGTGCACTTCTTTCATAAAGCTGTAAAGAGGAGGGCGGATCAGTGAGGAAAACGCAATGACTCCTTGTCTCTGCCCACACGATCAGAGGGTACAAATATTATCATATAAATTAAAATTAACATATATTGTGGAGATCCTATTTTGAGCCGTGAAGACTTGCGATCTCGTTCGCTGCGGATGCTGGGGCTCACGGGGGTTGGTTCAGCGCGGCGCCGTTTGTTCTCCATCAAATGTTGAAGCGGGCAAGCGACAGTAATTGGTGGAAAACGAGCTCCCGCCGGGCTTATTAACCTCTATGACACGCCTCAGCATTTGAGCGAACAAGACTACAAGATTCACACGAACTATCCAACAAACTTTAAGAAATTCCTATTGTTGAAAAGCAAGCCGAGAAAGAAAGCACGTTTCGTACAGCGTCAGTAGTAAGTAAATGGGTTGAAGTAGATTCTGGGTTAGGACTCGTAGCAATAGTACGAGAGGAAAGGCGAAGTTGGAAAAGGGGACTACGTTTTTCGTCATCACTGGGAAGTAAGAACATGCCTCAGGTCCTGGTTTAGCGGTATTGCATTCTTCTTCATCCTTAGGAGCGCTAATCTTGGTCAATACCCATATGGCTTGTTATTCATACCTGTACGCACATCCGTCTTATCAGAGTGTCAGAAGTTACCCCTACCCCAATTCCGATTCAGGGCACTTCCTGGCGTTGATGAAATTTTTCGCTAAAAATTTCTCCTCCCTTAGACCCGCCTTTGCAATCCATGACCCTGCTAAGGCACCTTCCTACCACAACATGTCGTCGAGGGTAGAACCCGATGAAATAACGAAAGTACTAGTTTTGCCGAGGAGATGGTAATGCTGTACTGGTGGGGGGATATACATCATGCGTGGAGCGATAAAGACTAGAATCGGATCACAGGAAAATTTTCCCAGTCATCTCTCTCCTCCTCCAGCGCCAATACAACCCACCGCCTACCTCACCTTGAGGATTCATAACAGCTGACGTGTGTCAGATACATACTATCGATGCGATGCTATAATAACGAATGGCACAATAGAGGGTAAACTGATGACTCGACATCGCTAAAATTGGCAAATGTCAAGAACAAGTTGATGCCTGCGCAATTTCCGGGCCATGGAATATTTGCAATATTATTTGGCGCCAAGAACATATAAACAGTCCATCTCTGATACTGTCCTAATCGTTCTAATTTATTAGCTCAGCCAGAGTCCAGGACTGGTCGATAGGATAATAGGAGTGGCATGACAAATGATGAATTTGACAACCTTTGACCAATCTATGTTTACAAGATATACTGATTGCTGCAACACCGGCTGAGAAAAACGCTAATTTCTATAAAAGATCCCGTCTACGTCGCTGGCCGGTACTGAAACTTACAACGCACACTGCACGCAGGGGAAATACTGTATTGGCTCTCGCTTGGAATAACTAAGTGTTCCATCGCTTCCAAGTATCCGTCGATAGTCGTGTGGTATGTGACAAGAGGATCGTAATTTGCCGCGCTTGCTGGCGGTCGCGTGCGGACGTCGCCCGCGCACAAGAGATTGGTTCCAGGACAGTAGAGGCGACAACAGCAAGTTAAGCGACCGGAAAACAGTATCAGTGTCTACGAGGGGTATAACACTGGCAAGTCCGGTGCTTCAATTCGACAGTTAAACGAGTTTATGTAGAAACGCCGCGCAATGCGCCGCGCACGTGGCGTGGCGGGCGAATTACGATCCTTCTTTAACCGTCTCCCATAGTCGTGTGGGAGATAATAAATGTGATCATATATTAGGCTGTTTATAGACATGTCGTATTCAAAATACCAACTCAAAGAGTACCGTGCATTGCCGCCCAATGGCATCGCAAAGGACATTCTTGCGCGTAAATTTCCTCTTTAGGTCTGTTTTGCTCCACTTAAGCATGGCCAAGCAGTTCCCCTCATTTGATGAAGCTCCGATTTTTTTCGCAGTTTTTCAAATCTTTGATGAAGCTCGAATTTTTTCCGACAAAGCTCCACAGAATACAAAATTTACGTAACTGTATAACATAAAAGTTGCGGAGGTAGTGTATGTGACAACGTGGCAGCTTACCGACATCGCTGCGCTCCTGTGTCAACTTCCAGGTCGACTCCGCCCAAGCCCGAGCAAGCATTCTACCCTCTGGGGACGCGTAACATAACGTACCAGAATTCGTCTGGAGGATAAGAACACTGACATGTGTACGTTGTGGCCGCAACCCATATAGTATATGTAGGTCAGATCGGCACTTCAGTACCTACTATATTCTTTAGCAATACTCCATGCCGATCCCACCAAGACATGTTGCCTCACGGCGAAGAATATTTTTATCTCTTCTATATAAAAAGAAGGATAGAAGGTACTTGTAATACGCGTCAGTGCAGTTTGCTTCAGCGCTATCAGAAGAACTCTACGGAACAGCTATTTCAAAGGGCTTCAGCCTACGTAGCTAGGCGCAAGTAAATAGCCCTACTTAAGCTTCTAATGCGTCAAAAATTCAACATGCAATTTTTATGAATACAATATCTGTGAATCGGTGAAGAGTTCATGTGATTACCATTACTTTCTGTGGCTTTGCGGTTGTATATGGCAACATACATCACGGAGCCGCGATCGTGATTCAATCACGTATAGGCTCCCAAACGAGCGCACGATAAAACATTCAAGTATCTACGATCAGCACTAAGCGGTCCATACGCATCTCAACGAAGTGAGCGCACGAGTGAGTGCGGCATGGTCTAAATGGCGATCCATGTCTGGGATCCTTTGCGACAAGAAAATGCCAGAGCGTTTCAAGTCAAAGATCTATCGTACTGTCGTCGACCTGTCGCGTTATATGGTGGTACAGAGTGCTGGCCCGCGCACCAAAGAATTTTGAGGCTCGCCTTTGGTGTGATGGAAAGTGAAAGATGCTGACGCTGGAGGGCGTCATACGCGAGTCCGGGCAGCAATTTGTACGAGTGTCGTTGCGCAGAAACTATGTGTGTAGCCCCAATAGCGGAGAAAATGCGTGAAACGCGCCTTCGATGGTACGGGCACGTGCTTCGCGCTGAAGGCTGACACCGTCCGTAAAACTGCTCTCGAACTCGAGGTACCAGGAAAGCGGCCAAAGGGGCGTCCCAAACAGCGCTGGCTCGACACGTTGCATACCGACTTGAAAATAGCCGGCATTCACCCCGATCAGGCACCAATGGGAAAAGTGGCGTAGTTGATATAAAGGAGGCGGACCCGCGATCGAGCGGGACAAACGCTGCAAGAAGATTAAACACTCCTCAGGGCGCTACATTCCTTGATACATCAGCCGGTAATCAGGTCGGGACTAAAAGAAGAGCGAAAAGAAAAGAAAAAGAATACAAAAAACACCACAGAAACGTAACACAACTCAAGAGAACACAACACAAATGAGCTCAAATGGCACAGAACGGACACAAAATGTCAGCGGAGTAGTAGAATAAATGAACCATGCGGAAACTACAGATGGGCCCAACGCATTAACGCAACCATGAACCTGACATCCGATAACAAACACGAGTCCTGGAGACAGGGCGCTAATCCCCTTTATCATCCATCATCATCATCATCATTTATTGGTAATCACAATGTTACAATAGAAGGAAGGCAACTCAGGATAATACCATTCATTGACCTTGATTTTGCACTGAGGTTAAAACTGATTGAAATAAAATTGAGGGGTAGCCATACTTAAAGGCAAACCCCGCGACCACAGATTGTGGGTAACGGAACCCACATAGGAACGAAAAAGGGCTAGGTATCTGATTAGCGGAGAAAAGCAGCAGAAAAACAGCCGAAAATGCCCTAAATAGGATTCCATATCGACTCCAACTTGTACATTCATGCAATGAAGGAAAAGCAAGTTTGTACGATTTTCCACTCGTCGTTTATCATAAAGATATCAGCTCTTTTATCGTTATCACCTCACTCTCACCATTCGGAATGGAGAAAGATAGCAATAGTGGTTACTAGCTAGTAGCTAGCAGCCGGTGGTAGGTCAGCATGACCCTCACCAGGGGCGCCATGGGCCTAATTGGTTAGCTTAAAGCGGAATTCTTGCCGATTTTCACTTTTTAAAGGTAGCGCAGCCTCCGCAATCTCCTTCTGGATCGTCTGACACATTTGAAAGGTCATAGCCTTATTTTATCGCGGAAAGTGCCTTTAAGGCTGACTACTCAAATATTTCATTATTATTCAGTTACCTGCCAACATAGAAAAGTTTGGATAGTAAATTTACTTAATTGAAGCACGTCAGATAATCATACAATACTATGGTTTAGTGCAGATAGTTATGTCAGAGGTTGGCTGCCACAGCCAACTCGATGTTCCACTCACACCTCGATTCACCGGGGTCAGTTTTAATTAAATGTGCAACCGCACGAAGCGATCGGATGGTGACGAGGCGGTGGTCCTTTGGGAGCTAGTAAAATAACTCTCTGAATGAAGAATTTGATGGTAAGAATCAAAAGTCCAAAATGTCTCCCCCTCCCCGTTGCCGAACTGCTCCTAAATGTCGGAATCTCCCTACTCAAATCCATTATTTTTTCAAAGTATGGAAGCTACAGAGAGCAAAATGATCAGCGATGATATGTGAGTATAAGCTGAGCTCAGAACCAACGCTCTCTAGTTCTATCGACGAGATGTTATGAATTTGCCGAAAAAAAACTGGGAGCGAGTGATATTGTGGTTGTGCGGTATATCGATATTCACGGGGATTACATTGGTCAATGACAGGTTGTTGTTCCGTTCAGCTGGTTTGAAGAACTTATCATAAAAACGGAATTGTCAACCAGTAAATTAATAGATAGTCACTTGTGTAAGCAACAGTTGGCGGGAAGTTGTGCCGTAGCAATCTAATTTTGCTTCACAGAGATCTCCCTTGATGCAACCGAACATCGCGAAAGAACAAAAGAAGAGGCAATAGCTTTAGGGTGAAGCTGGTCCCTTTTTTGGAAGGTGGGCTTCTAGAAATATCGCAAATTGCTTGAAATTCATCGCATTTCTTCGAGGTCTAATTATCCTTGGTTGTTCAATGTATGGGCTATGGTGCAGCGCTAATGAAACCACAGAGGGACAACAACAGAACAACCACAGAAGAACCACACAAGAGGTTTTCTTGCCGTGTTGTTCGCTGCGGAGGAAGGGGCGTGTCAGTGAGGCCACGGCCGCTGCCAGCTCGTCCTCCACAGTTGTCCAAGCGGGTAGACGATAATAGTTTGGAAAACGACATGATACAGGACTTCTGCTAAAGGACCTTCTGCTCTCCAAAGCGAAAAAAAAGAAAAGAAGCGGGCCTTATGCTGCAGCATTACCCATCCCCCGGACACGCCCCATCATCCACAGATAACAAGACTAAATGGGGTATTTTTTAGCGCACCCAGAGTGCATCATATAATCTAAGATGAATAGATAAATAAATAGCAGTTCTTTGGAGGAAACATGGAGAATCGTCAAAGAAGTAAAAAAATGGTAATCACTATGAAATATGAGGATTGGGGGGTCCTAACGAAGTTTTCTGGGGGAGGGGGTCCTATTTTGCAAAGAATCTCCTCAACGGCGGGACGTGTCCGTATCCCGAATAGATCGGTAAACTGGTGCCAAATTCATCTGGGAGGATCAAAATTTTCTAAAACAATAGAAAAGGAAAACCAGAACGATTCCGGGTCTCCGAAGATGCCAACCAAGACGAAAAGCAAATAAAAACGATTCCATGATGACAGACTTGCATGACCACAGCGCAGTAAAAGTGAACATTCCAGCCAAATGGTCAGGCTTTAAGAAGACCGAACATATGATAAATTACGAAATGCAGTTCTAAGTGGTCCTATATGCCCAATCCCAGAAGAATGGCATAAGGGATTGTTCCCATGCAAACCAGACATACACCCATAGAATTCCCCTTGTATAGTGGAAACTTCTACAACAGGGCATGTACAACCGTTGGAGAAAATTTTTGCAAAATACGACCATCCTCGAAATTCCC